GGATATTCGGTATTATAGGCTTGGATTCTAACGAGGGAAATCTACCATTCGAGGAGTGAAGATCTGGAACAGCCTTCCAGGGGGAGTAGTGGGGGCAAAAGACATATGTGGCTTCAAGACTAATCTGGATAAGTTTATGGAGGGGATGGTATGATGAGAGAGCCTAATTTTGGCAATTAATTGATCTTTGATTATTGGCAGGTAAATATGCCCAATGGTCTGTGATGGGATGTTAGATGGGGTGGGATCTGAGTTACTAAAGAGAATTCTTTCCTGGGTGCTGGCTGGTGAGTCTTGCCCACATGCTCAGGGTTTAGCTGATCGCCATATTTGGGGTCAGGAAGGAATTTTCCTTCAGGGCAGATTGGCAGAGGCCCTGGAGGTTTTTTGCCTTCCTCTGCAGCATGGGGCATGGGTCACTTACTGGAGGATTCTCTGCACCTTGAGGTCTTTAAACCACTATTTGAGGACTTCAATAACTCAGACATAGGTTAGGGATTTGTTACAGGAATGGGTGGGTGAGATTCTGTGGTCTGCATTGTGCAGGAGGTCAGACTAGATTATCATAATGGTCCCTTCTGACCTTAAAGTCTATGAGTCTAAAGGGAGGAGAGTTGGAGTCTGGGGGAAGTGATGTGTTTGTCACTGGGTAGAGCCCCTCAGAGTCCCCGGGGATCTCCAGATGTCACTTCTACAAACTCCCTCAGACCAGCGCAGGGTGTGTATGTTAGTGATTTAGGGGCCATGTCCTCCTATACTGACTAGTAACAAACCAGCACACTGGGGCCTGTGATGGATGCAGGGGCTATGTGGGCTGATGTCTGCGCCAATCTGATCCCACAAAGGTTCCAACCTATAGCATCATTGATGCTCCTGCACATGGGAGATGGGAGGGCCTGGTCTGTGACCAAGCGGGGAAGGCAATTGGACCCATCCTCCTTCCGGAAAATTATAGCATGTAGCAGAAACATCTCCTGTCACTCACCTGAGCAATTCACTCCAACATCTTCCTTATGGCCACAGTTGCTTTCACCCCAGGGCTTGGCAGGACAGTCCCAGAGAGATGACTCTGTCCCTCTGCAATTCAACGTCTCCACCCATATGGGACCAGTCCCCTCACCGAATGCAGCCTCGCCCGGGGCAGATACAGCAGATCCACAGCCCAGTTGTTTACACACAACGTTAGCATCCGCCATGTCCCAGGAGTCATCACAAACTGTTCCCCAGGAGCCACGGTACCAAACCTCCACTCTCCCCGAGCATCCGTCCTCTCTTCCCACGACACGTAACTTCTCCTGGTCTGGAAATGCAGAAACCTCACATGTTACTGGGACAGCTGGGAAAGTCCTTAAGGACGAAGAATGAGACACAGAGAAGCAGAAATACCTGTGCAGCTTGGAGAGTTCGGGCATTCGGCAAACAGGGTCTGAGGTGGTTTCTCTTTTTGTCCTATGCAGAGAAAATAATGAACTGAATGGACTGAGAAGCATGTGTGATGTGGGAGAGAGTAGGGTTTATCTGTATATTAAACCCCTAAATTTCAGCAATTTTATAAACTTAAATCTAAAATCTAGATTATTTCAGAGCTAACGGATTTATTACTCAGTGGATTCTCTGGCTGTTGAAGTCTTTATGCAGCTCCCTGTTGGTGTGTGTGTTTGTGGTTATCTGAGTCTGTTCCATCCACCCTGTGTACAGCTGCTTCTGGCCCTGTTTGAAGGTAAACAGATTTGTCAGCTGAAACTCACCCACATTATTGTGGGGATCCAGACACGGTGGTATTAGAATTGAGACCAAAATGGGACTTTAAAATTGAAACAAACTCTCACCGACACGCACAGACACAGACACACTTTTCGGGAATTCTGATCCTGACCCAGATTTCCCAGCCTGGGGGTCAGGAAGCAGGGGCTGCAGCAGAGCTAGTCTCCAGGCAGCTAACAAAGGCAGCGGCCTGTATGAGGCTGCCTGACTGGTCGTACCGCCTGATTGGTGGGAAGGGTCAGCAGTCCAGGTCTTGAATTCAGCACCCAGAGCAGCCATTCAGCAACTGCTCAAAGCATTTCCCACAGCTAGGATACCTCGTTTTCCTGTCTTGTTCCCAGCCTTGCTCTTTCCTTGACTCCAGACTTACCCCTTGCCTTGCTCCAGGTAACCCGGTCCTGACACTGAGCTCCGATTTCTGACTTCGGCTCTGGTCTCTGGCTCTGACCCTTGGCTCCAATTTCTGGCTACCACCTCCTGCTCTAACCACTGGGCATGACTCCTACTTCAACTGCTCAGCGTGACCACTCACATCCTTTTCACTGACATTGGGCCTATCTCTGATTGTTCATCCCAAAAGTATAGCCACTGAGATTCCCAAATGACGCTCGCTAATGGGAGGCATTTACAGTGGCACTGGAACAATTTTTACAGTTGGGGGCTGAAAACCAGTGGTCCCCAAACTTTTGACCTGCCACCCTTACCCATATCCATGCCCCCTCTCTCCCGAGTTGGGGCCAGGACTGAGCCGTGGCTCAGCGGGGAGGGTGGGGGAGATGTGGCTAGGGATAAGGGGACTGAGGCTGGGACCACAGCTGGGGGCGGGAGCAGAGCCCTGCTTGTGGGCCAGCAGCAGGACCCTATGTGCGGGACCAGCAGCGGAGCACGGGGCCGGCAGCTGGGACCCCGCACACAACCTGCGGGTGCTGAAGTACCCCTCACACTCCAAATTCCACTGCCTATGGGCACTTGTGGGGTCTCACTAACTGATTGCACTGTGTAACACACAGCTTGTATAAATAACTCCCATGTTTGTTTTCCAGGGGCTGTATTCTCATTCCTAGAATAGACAATGAAACTTTTATTTCACTAGGAGGGTGGTGAAGCACTGGAATGTGTTATCTAGGGAGGTGGTGGAATCTCCATCCTTAGAGGTTTTTAAGGACCAGCTTGACAAAGCCCTGGCTGGGATGATTTAGTTGGTGTCGATCCTGCTTTGAGCAGGGGGTTGGGCTAGATGACCTCCTGAGGTGTCTTCCAACCCTAATCTTCTATGATTATATGATATGTCTGTCACTGCTGCGAATGTAAGATTGTCTATACTGAAAAGTAAATACATTCACAATTTCTATCACACCCTTTCAATGAGTTAAACATGTAGAGGGTGTGAGCATGCGTGTGCACTGAGTTTCAGAATTACCACTGCAGGAAATATGGGTCTCTTCTGCGCGGTTATCACAGGACTGCTGTTTCCACATGTCTGATGGGCACTGCCAAAGGAACCTGTGCTGCTCATTGCATGCAACATGGTCCAGCCACGTGGGACCAGAACCTTTTCCATATGTAAAGTCTTTTTCAATCTGCCCTCCGTCCCCACAGTTCAGCTGTTTGCAGACAATTGCTGTGATGTCTCCAGACATCCCATTGGAGCAAACACTGCCCCACGT